AATTTTCTGTAGGTTTGAATTCTTCAAAATAAAAAAGTTGAAAAAAGAAACATTAACTTAAAAATGCATAAATTCTAGAGTCTCCCTTTGATCTAGCAATTCTACTGGTAAGAATCTGTTCAACCTCTATGCCTGCCTAACTGCATAAAGAAATATACGTGTGGTCATCCATGACCACATTTCTTACACCCTTGAATGCTGGTAACAACCTGAAAGCCCATTGATAAAAGACAAGTCATGGTACATTCACAAAGTGGAATATTCTGCAGTTATTATAAAGACCAAGTTAAGCTACATATACTGATATGGAAAAAATCCAAACTATGTATATGGTTAAGTGACTAAAGTGAGAACAGTAAGCCTAATAAGATTTTATTTTGTTTTGTTTTAGCAGAAATTATATATTATATTAAATCTTGGTTTATTTTCCAAGTTCTTTTTTCTTACATAAAAATTAATGCATACATGATTAAAAAAACAAATAGTACTAAAATATTTACAATGAAAAACAATAGTCTCTTGTTCTACCCTCCCCAGCAGCTGGCCTATAGGGGAATTTGAACCTTTGACCTTGGTGTTATAAAACTAACCAACTGAGCTAACCAGACAACCAAAACAGCTATTTTTAATTCTTTTAGCTGTTTGTTGTTTTTTAAGAGGATATATATGGGGGTGACATTCAAAATATTTGACAACTAGGAAGGTGTGGGTTTTGATAAATCATAACCCACTTTGACTGGTGAGTACTTCATGCTGCTGTATGCCAGCCCACAGCAGCCGTGGAGAAGATGTATGTGTGTTGCATGTGCACATATGTGTTTACATATATATGGATGTATGCATATGTGTGTGCGCTGTGCACATGTCCTCGTATATGCATAATAATGTTCTGGAAATATACACAAGAAACCATTAATAATGGTGGTAGAATAAACTGAGGCCTTAAAAATCATATTTGAGGTATAATGAATGAATGCATTTGGGCTAAGTACAGGACCGACTACAATATAAGGGAGGAGCGCCGCCACGCTTCCCAAGCAGCGCACTATCCAGTGCGCCACCGGGCCGGCCCCTAGAAGGGATATTTTTGAGGCTGTGCCAAAGAGTAAGGGATTGAGGCTGGCCTGTCAGCTCAGTTGGTTTAGAGCTCAGTGTTGGTAACACCAAGGTCAAGAGTTTGGATTCCCCATACTGGCCAGCCACCTAAGTAAATAAATAAAGAGTAGGGGATCAACAAGGCAGTTGGCACAGGAGAGGGATTTTGAAAGAAAAGAATATCCTTTTAAAAAAAAATGTGTAAGTTCCTCAGCACTGTGTGGTTTTGTTTCTTTTCTGTCTCCCCACAAGACTTCAGTAGAGCATCTTCTCCTTACTTATGCACTGTGGAGATGGATCTGTTTTCTAGGATGAGATATCGGGATTTATGTGTCCCCGAACAGTGGCTGCCAGGGGGGGAATCAGATCCATGATGAGTCACATTTTACCCTGTGCTTGAGTTATTATTTCCTGTTAAAAATTCATTTATAATACTTAAGGTAAAAAGAAAGCTATAAAAAACAGCATAATGAACCCCCATGTATCTATTATCCTACTTCAAAAATGAAAAAATACCTAAGTACGCTTCTCTGATTAATTCCCCTCCCTCCTCTGCAGAGGAGACCACTTTCTTCAGTTGGGGTGTATTATTCTCACACATTTCCCATATTTATAATACATATATTTTTATCCCTAAATAAAATGGTATGCTGTTTTGCAAGTTTTAATATTTTATATAAATTATATGTACATATCCTTCTGCCACTGCTTTTTCGACTTAATGTTATAATTATGAAATTCATGTCAAATCCCCAGACTGCTATAGATATTCTTACACACATATGCACAAGATCCTCTAGAGTATATTCCAAGGAATGGAATTGCTGGGTCATGGACCATTGCTAGGTTATGTGTGTTCTGACCTTACTAGATATTGACAATTTGTCCTCCAGAGTGATTTTACCAATTGAGACTTCCACCAGCTATGAGAGATGCTTCACATCCTCTCTAGCATTCAATCATTCATTCAGCAAATATTTATTAGTGACCTATTAATCTATTCTAGGTATTAGTATGCAGCAGTGAAAGTTCCTGCTCTCTTGGAGCTTCCATTCTCTTGGCAGGAGACATACACTAACAAATAAGCAAATGACTTTTTAAATTTGTTTGTATGTCATAGGTCCAGAGGTGATGAGTGCCTCATTTCCAGGCTCTGTGGATGGTAAGTACTAGCTCTTCTCCTTGGGCCCTTCTTGTAGGTAAAGAACCTATAGTATATGAAGGCAATGCCCTCATGAGCCCAACGTGATCTAATTCAAGAAACCAACTGTTTATTTTATTTATTTTATTTTATTTTTTTAAGTATCCTTGGAAGTGGGCTTATTAAGAACAAAAATGAATGATTCTATTAACAAATAAACAATATTTAATCAATCCCCTTTTTATTTATTTTTTCAATTTTTATTTATTTATTTTTATTGAATCATAATTGATTATACAGATTTTGAGGATTCAATGTTGACATATGTTGATCAAATCAATATTATTAGTATGTGTATTGTTACAAATTATACTTATTCTTTATGCCCCTTATCCAATCTCTCCCTATCCTCCTCTCCCTACCCCCTCCCACCAATCGTAATTACCTTAAAATTAGAAGGTGAACATTTTATGTTACTGTAATGTGTTAGAATACACAGAGTGCTTTGGAATCCATGTTCTCAGATGACCACAACAGCAGGCAGCATACAAGAAGTTGGTTAAGCACTCCTATCTCGGCAGTCAAGTTGCCCAGGATCAGATCTTGGTTTCCTGACTTACTAATCATGTGACCTTGAAAAAGTTACATAACTTCTCTAAGGCTCCGTTTCTATATCTGATAATAAGTGCCTGAACCAAAATAATAATAATAATAATAATAAAAGAAGAAAACTACATAGAACAAAAAGAAAAAAACAAAAAGATAACAGTGCCTAATTCATAGTGGTATTTAACATCTTGCCCAATAAATTTTTAGCATGGTGCCCAGTAAATTTTTAGCACTTTATATTTAGCAGCAATCAATTAATAATAGATGGGCCAGGCATGTGATATTATTCCCATTTTATAGATGTGGAATCTGAGGTTCAGAGTGGTTGAACAAATTGTCCAGCCAATAAGTTCTGGTACCTCTTGAACCAGGTCTTCTGATACCAGAGCCAATTCTCCATTACAACATTGCTTGTATGTGTGAATGTATCTTTTATTCATTCAATCATTATTTATTGAACATCTAATACATGACAGTCACTGTGCTTGGTGTTAGCAATTCTAGAATAATCCCAATATGCCTGATCATGTTCAAGCAACACAATCACCTTGAGGCCAGTCCCAGCGCTTTGTTTCACCCAGAATTGCCTGGTAATAAATTTTTAAGATTTTACTGAAGTTTTTATGGAGGATAGAGATTATATCACATTAGATATAATGGCTACTAAGTGCCAGCTCCTTGAAGGCAAAGATCATGTTTTATTTGTCAGTGTATAACCAGCACTTAGCACAGTGCCTGGCACATACTCACTGAATAGTTGACAAGTGAACATGTCATAAGCCAAATTTAATCCGTTTTCCTAGATAACTTATCACATGCCTCCCATAATGCCTTCCCCAGCAGATGCCCCAAAATTGTTGATGAAACTGAGTTGAATTGAACTGTGAAGAATTCTATCTCTTGTGAACTTAATGGGATTCTCCCAGGTATTCCTGGCTTCCAGATACAGGTACTTTTCATGTGAAACGAAGTATTGTTACAAAAAATATGTAAGTCAAAATATTGAGTCAGGGAATCAATAGTAGAGTAAATAACAAACAAAAAAAATGTTATGGAAAGAGAAGGAATGATCTAAGTGCATACGGAGTGCCCATAGAGAGCTGACAATAAACCCTACCGTAGTTCAGAGAAGTGAGAAAAAGAACAGGAGTGTGATAGTGTATTAACACGACTGAAGAAAATCTATTCCAGGTCTCTTTACAGACAAACTGTGATGTGGTTTTGTTATATCTCAGAGACTGTCCTCTGTGTCACAGCCTGTCAATAGCTTAAGATTTAGAATCCTCTTTATGAACCCAGGTTCTGACAGGTCCCAGGAACCCTGTAGTTTCTGTGTAGAACGAGGAGGTGGGGGCAAGTTCCAAGGGCTCAGATTTCCTCAGGGGGGGCTCCCCAAGCACTCGGTTTGGGGGACTAACCTCCAGCTAACAAGAGACAGACCTTATTCTTCACCTGTTCACCCTGATGACCCCCCACCCCCAGGGTTGAAGGAAAAGATATCCACTTTAAGTCATTTCTCTGTCATGTAAATGTCACCGTCCCTATTCCCTTTTACCTCATAACCTCACCCTCAGGCCCTACCCCCCCAAAAATATATATATATCTACTAGAATTCAACAATGCTTCATTTTCTAGATTACTACCTTCTTCTGACCTCCTTGCAAATGGAGAATTCTCCCCTAGATTTAGGCTTCTCCTTTTTTTTTTTTTTTTTTTTTTTTTTTTTTTTTTTTAATGCACAAATATTCCTTTAGAGGATCACTGTGGGATTAAGAAAATGGGATATCCGGGTTAAGAAAAATCAGGGTTTGTGCCTGAGAGCTGACTTAAGCACAAGGTAGCCCTATTTGGGACAATATGTTATACCTTTCAAAGCAAGAGGAAAATGAAATCAAGAAGCATACTCCTTACATCTGGGGGAGACAGCATGGTATGTTTCATTTTCTACCACGCTGAGCAATAAGACTTCCCCTAGTAATACTTGGCGTTGGCCACTCAAATGCATTTACTTCTTTCTGTGTCAGCATCAGCTTGGCAGAACACCGAGAACTGGAGGCTGAGGGAAAAAAATGTGGTCTTCTTGCTCACAGAAGAGATTCGAAGACATCCTTGCTAATGCAGAATTGCCAGAAGGTCTGATGTATGAATCCGCCGCATGTTAAGTAGGCTGATGAGACTTGCAGAGTTTATCAGAATTTCCGATGAAGCAGCACGCAAGGATGCCTATCGTTACTGTATGAGTGTCGTACAGTCTATAATTTGACTTGTTTGGGTTTTTTTGTTATTATATGTTGCGCTTCACTGAAGTCTGTTGCAAGCTCTCTTTTTCCTTTGCTTTCAGAATTCCCCTGCTTCGTCATGGAGAATTGAGGCTTTGTGGCAAGAATGTTAAATATTCCTTCAAACAACACACATGGAAAAGGCTGAGAGACAGTTATTATGTTTTATTAGCATCTGATCTCCGTTCTCCTAATTTCCTAATCATAGCTGCATTTCCGCGCTCACCACAGTCTGGTTGGATACGCTCTGAAGTACCCAGGAACCAAGCCAAAAGCAGCATCAAGCAAAGGCGACCAATTATGAAGCCGGGTTAAGTAAAACACATCTTCAGGCTCCCAGCACCCTTCCCCTTCCTAGGCCCAGTACCACTTTAGATAGCTGCCAGATTAGCAAAGAAATACATAGGTGCCTGTATCTTAAGCTCACAGTCCTGTTTAGGCCTTTGATAGCTTTATCTTAGTCCTCTGCCATAAGAGCCTGTTTTGGGGGAAAAATTTGAGATTAGTCTTCCAACTTCAGAGCAGAATTTCTTAAATCTGGTCCCAGATAATCTGCATTAGAATAACCTGGCGAATGTGGAAAATGCAGATTCCTGAGTCTCCCTCTAGACTACCAGAATCAGAAATTCCAAGGGTGACCCTGGGCAAATGTATTTTTAAAATTTCCTCAGATAATTCTGAGGCCCACCAAAGCAAAACAATCATGTAATGACCTCAGTGTCTTTCCTCTCCCAGCTGTACATCCTTAAAGACTTTATCCTACTTGTGGAAAAGGAGATAAAAAAGGTACAGTACTTGGCATTTACAGGGACCTCGAAAAATATTTATTCTCTTAATCCCTTCTTAAAGGAACTTCAGACTTGAGGAGTGAGGAAGGGTAGATACCCAAGGTCCCTTCCCAGTTCCTTGAAGAAAATAAAGTCTGAGGCTGTCTCTGATCACCTCTGCCAGGGCGCACCTGGGGTCCTCCCGCAAACCCAGAAGGAGAAGGAGCCGACAGGATTACCCCTGGTGTCGGGACCGAGGGATCTCGGGGAAAAGTGAGCCTGCTGGCCGCCAACCCAGCCCCGTGAAAGACACTCAGACGCAGCAGGCGTTCTGTCAGGGCAGTTCCACTTTATTGCCGTTACACTGCAATTTATATAAGCAAGCAAGTAGGGGCTTTCCATGAACTAACCAATCAATTGAAGGATCACGCGGGCATGCATTTTGTACTAACATGTTGAGCATAGCGGTCACGCATAGCGGTCACGCATAGCGGTCATGCAGGGTTCACGAGTGCGGAAATACTGGAGGACCAATAAAAACCTTTTGGAGCTATCTTGGGTTACGCCTCCCCTACTTCCTGTGGGCACCATCTTTATCCTTTACCCATAGGCACCATGTGGCTCACAGATAATGTTTGCTCCTAAAAATGGGCCCAACATCTCCCCCTATTTTCTTTATGTAAAGAAGAACAACCTGTAATGGGCAGTTGAAGGTGGCTAACCTCTCAACCTCGTTGGCTTTTTTGTGACTGTGCCTGTCTTAGGTTGTCCCCCTCTGGGGATCTTACCCGTGATTGGCTAGCCAGCCACTTGTGGAGAGCCAGTGGAGCCCCTTAAAGATTACTGTGGATTTTTTGAACGGTCATATTGACCCAAGGGTTTTGAGGGTTTTTTGTTAGGCCACATTTTCTACCACTCGGGTGAGCATAGTTATGGATCCTAGATTTTGTCGAATGAGAGCCATGATTTTAGTAAAAATTAAAGGACCAAACATTAGCACTAAGAGGAAGATGAAGAGGGGGCCCGCTAAGGCAGATATTAAGGTGGTAAGCCAGGGAGAACTGTTAAACCAAGATTGAAACCAGCCCTCATTGGCCTGATCCTATCTAGGCTGGGAGTCAGGAGAGCCTTCTGGACAGTGGCTCCAGTGGAACCGTGTCCAGGGTTTCACCCGATGGGACAAAAGAATGAATCCTCAGTCAGCCAGTGTGCAGAGAAGCCTGCAATGACGTCCCCCTTCTCTACACTATCTCTAAACTTCTTACCTCCTGAATCAAAGACTTAACTTAAAACCAGAATTTTCCCCCAAATTTGTCTCACTGTCCCTAATTCTGCTTTCTGCATTTTCAGGCACTTCATCGGAAAGTCAGCCACCAACATTAACATGTTGAGAAGCCCACACCCGGGAGAAGCGAGTAGAACAATGCAGACTCAGGATTTGGGTTTAGAAAGACTACAGGCCCCAAAATGCAACTTTACCCCCGAGAGACTACCGTTCCCAACATGCAATGCAGCCAGGGTTGGCAAAGGAAAAAAACCGCAAGCCTGGCTGGAAAGTTTGCCTTCTTGTCACCCTCAGGCAAAGGCATGATTTTGAACGGCCCCAGAGGATATTTTTCGTAAGAGTGGTCACTCCCTAAATCCAGGCAAGGAAGGGGAGGAGTCTGAGCCGAGTCACGCCCCCTCTCCTGTAAATTTGTGTCGCTCCCAGCTGAGTTTGGAGAGCCGGGAGTAGTAGCTGCACACCCCGAACTTTCCCCATGGTTTCGGTGAGCAGAGCCGTGTTTGGAGAGCTGCCCTCGGGGGCAGGGACCGTGGAGAAGTTCCAGCTGCAGTCAGACCTGCTGAGAGTGGATATCATCTCCTGGGGCTGCACCATCACCGCCCTGGAAGTCAAAGACAGGCAGGGGAGAGCCTCAGACGTGGTGCTCGGCTTTGCCGAGTTGGAAGGTGGGTTGATCTCTGCCCCAGGCTGCGGGCAGACCCAGGCCCACCCCGCACCCCCACCCACCCT